TCCTCTGGCTGTGGTGGGGTGAGGGTGGCTGGGACCTGGGGGCACCATCCCTGTCCCCAGCGTCTGCTTGGAGCTCAGGGACGGGTCACCTTGTGTGAGGCTTCACCGAGGACGGTGGAACTAGGTGATCTTTAAGGTCCCTTCCAACCCAAGCCATTCTGTGATTCTAATGCATGCTAAAAAAAAGGACAAGACACCTAACATCCTCCAATATACATATATTCACACCCTGCAGCAGGACAAGGAAATGGGCCAGGAAAGCAGGAAGATGGGGTGACCTCTGATTAGGGTGTTGCCCCCAGGCTTTACCTCTAGGATCCTCTTGCCCAATGCTTAAATCTTTCTGGACCTTGCTATCTCATCTGCAAAATGGTGGCTTGAAATACTGCTATTTTCTTTTATCCAGATAAAATGAGATTATGTTACCAAATGATTTTAAGGGCCTGAGATAATATGATGATGGGAAAAATACCATTTGCTTCTGAATCTGTGGTCCTACTTGGATAAAATCAAACTTAATGCATGAATATGAAAGATTATTTTCTAAAATTACAAATGGTGTAATAAACACCAAACATATCTTGAATAAACAATTCAAGATATGTTTAATTAAAGCCCTTGGAGCAGCTTGGAAGAAAGTGACCATAAAATTCCACATTGTTATATTTCTACACCTGACTAAAGAGTAGCAGCTTTCCCATTTTTTTCACCCAGCCTTGCTTTCTTTAGAAGGCATGTTAGATGCTTAAATGAGAAGGCCATTGTTTCTATGAAATGGCACAAGTCCAGAGCACATGTCCCACTTGTGCTTCTTTGAAAAGTTACCAGGAGGGTGCCATGCCGTACTTACAAATGTGATGAAGCCACTGCTGCCAGTAGCAGTCCATGCCCTGGTTAAACCTCAAATAATAGCCGATCCTGAAAAAGCTGCTAAGACAAAGAAACCACCCCCTCATGCTGCTTATCCCAAAACAAAGCCGCTAGATCTAGTTTTGCATGTAGCAGCACTAGCAGTGTGTCTCAAGTCTGGGGAGATGTTCCACTCCTTTCATTTTGCGGCCGCGCAGGGCAGGGCCGGGCCGGCGGCGTCCCCAACGTGCGTTGCCGAAGCCCTGCTGCCCGATCGATGCGCCCTGCGCGTTGCATAACCCCGCCGTGCCCCTGCCCCGCGTGGGGCTCGGCGAGGGGAAGCGGGGGGGAGGTGGGGGCAGGGGGGGGGGGTTCTCTGGCTGTGGTGGGGTGAGGGTGGCTGGGACCTGGGGGCACCATCCCTGTCCCCAGCGTCTGCTTGGAGCTCAGGGACGGGTCACCTTGTGTGAGGCTTCACCGAGGACGGTGGGATTTCACCGTCTGGCACTCGCCAAGACCTTCCCTTGGCATTTTGGGTGGCGGGAGGGGCGAATTTTTCCCCCCTCCATCACTCAGGGTTTAACCCTCCGCCTTGCCGCCTTCCCCTCTGTGGCTTTGCGTTTGGGGGGGGGGGGGGGGAAAAAAGGAAAAGGCGGGCAGAACCTCAGCCTTCCCCTCCCGCCTCTGCTCCCGCAGCGTTTGTCACTTTGCTCAACGGGGAACAGGCGGAATCGGCCATCAAAAAACTCCACCTGAGCAAACTGCGGGAGAAGGAGATCTCGGTGCAGCTGCAGCCCACGGACGCTCTCCTGTGTATCGCCAACCTCCCCCAGCTCTACACCCAGCAACAATTCGAGGAGCTGGTCCGACCTTTCGGCAACCTGGAACGGTGTTTCTTGGTGTACAGCGAGAAAACGGGACACTCGAAAGGTTACGGCTTTGTGGAATATATGAAAAAGGATTCGGCGGCCAGAGCTAAGTCAGATCTGTTGGGGAAGCAGTTGGGGACGCGGACTCTCTACGTCCACTGGACGGATGTCAACCAGTTGACGTTAGACCTTCTCCATTCCAAGTGCTTGTGCGTCGACAAACTGCCCCACAACTACGCCGACCTGGAGGAGCTGCGGCAAGTCTTCTCCGCTGCCTGCGCCCCAACTTTTTGCCAGGTGAGGGGGACCGGGAGAGGATTTTGGGGGGCGTCGAGGTGGTTTTGGTGTTTTTTTTTTTTTTTCCCCCATTGGGTTGAGCTCCCGGGGGAGGTTGGTGGCCCGAAGCAAGCAGCCACCCCTGTGTCGGGCAGCGGGGAAATGATTCTGCCTGGGAATGTGGGCGCGGAGCTGGGAAAGCTTTGCGGTCAGTGGGGGTGAGGTTTGAGGAGAAAAATAGCAAGGTGCGGTAATTTGAAGGTTTTTAATTAAAACAATGCGAACGGGGGAACAATGTCAGCACTTTCTTTTTCGTTTGAAAGAGTCGGGGGGGGAGAAATATTACCCAAGACAAGATTTTTTATAAGGAAACTACGTAATAACCATTTAAAAAGCTAGAGAATAATTAAGAAATAAAAACCGATGGTGCTTCTGGTCTGAGAAGAGATGATCTCGGCATCTGCTGGTGCTGCAAATGAAAATCAGAAAGGATTTAATTATGCAGCAACAATTAAAGTGGGGGTCGTTTGTGTTTGAGACCGGAAAGAAATCCTAAAGGCGCGGAGTCCTTCCGCGCAATTTGTTCAGCGATCACCTGGGAGGAGAGCTCTGCTGAGCGCCTAACGTAGTAAAATCGCTTTACGGCCCGCTATTTCTTTTGCTTCGTAGCGAATCAAATTCCTGGTTTGTGTGAATAAATTCTCCTTTCTTCTCTAAAATAATTCTCTAAACGGTTTCGCTCATAAACTTCTGTCAGAGCCTGAGGGAACTATTGTGCGGTTTGTGGCGGGGACAGCGGGGAGACGACGGCGGACAAAAAAATTACCCGCAACGCGGAGAAAGCAAATCTGTGGGAATCTGCGGCGTTCGGCTTTTAAAAAACTGAAGCGATTTGATTTCTTAGCTGAGCTTCTCCTGCAACACCATCGCTTTAATTCTCTGTATTTATCTGCTTCTGTGGCTTTTAACCGAGCGCCTTGCAGCCACAAATACACTTTATAATTCACGATACCAGTAAGACAGACTGGGTGGGGAATTGGTGGAGAGCAGCCCTGGGGAGAAGAACCTGGGGGTGCTGAGTGATGAGAAGCTCAACATGAACCGGCAATGGGCGATCACAGCCCAGCGAGCCACCGGCAACCCGGGCTGCGTCCCCGGCAGCGTGGCCAGCAGGGCGAGGGGGGACTGTGCCCCTCTGCTGCGCTCTGCTCTGCTCTGGGGAGACCCCCCTGCAGTGCTGCCTCCAGCTCGGGGGGTCCCACCAGCAGAAGGAGACGGAGCTGGTGGAGCGGGGCCAGAGGAGGGCACGGAGATGCTGGGAGGGCTGGAGCCCCTCTGCTGGGAGAGTTGGGGGGTTC